TGACTACCTTAGGTTTTTCTTGGGGGGGGGGATCCAGGGGCTCAATACACATGCACGCACATGTATACATATATATGTATATATATATGTATATAGATGTATATATGTACAGATATATACATATGCATGCATGCATGCATGCGTGTCTGTATGTAGGTATGTATGTATGTGTGTATGTATGTATATATGTCTGTCTGTCTGTCTGTCTGTCTGTCTGTCTGTATGTATGTATGTATGTATGTATGTATGTTTATGTATGTATGTATGTATGTACGTATGCATGCATACATGCATGTATGCATGTATGCATGCATGCATGTATGCACATGTATGTATGTATGCATATGTATGTATGTATGTATGTATTTATGTATGTATGTATGGCTGTGTGTATGTACGTATATATGTGTGTATGTATGTATGTAAGTAAGTAAGTAAGTAAGTAAGTAAGTAAGTAAGTAAGTGTGTGTATATGCATGTATGTATGTCTGCCTGTCTGTCTGTCTGTCTGTATGTATGCATGCATGCATGCATGTATGTATGTATGTAAGCATGTACGCATGTGTATGTATGTATGTATGTATGTCTGTCTGTCTGTATGTATGTATGTATTTATGTATGGTTGCATGTATGTATGCATGCATGCATGGTTGGATGTATTATGTATGTATGTGCATATGTGTGTGTATCTATGTGTGTGCATACATATATATATACACATACATATATGTTATATATATATATATATATATATATATATATATATATACATATGAATGTATATATATATATATATGTATATATACATATACATACATCTATAGGAGTAGGCCAGAGGAGGGCCCGGAACCACGACCACTGGTTTGCATGGCGGTCCAGGAGGGCCTTGAGGGCTCCAAGGGGGCCCAGAAGGGGCCCGGACCCCCCCCAGAGGCCCTCAAGCTGGCCCAAGAGATTCCCAACGCGCCCCAGGTTGTTTGGAAGATGGCTGAAGAGTGCACTGAGATGGCCTCAAGGCGGCCCACGAGCGCTCGAAGACAGCCCAAGACTGCGACGGTCACAAAGGCCCTCAAGACGGTCCAAAAGGCAGCCGAGAAGGCCCCCCCCAAGGGCACAAATCAAGCATTTCCAATGGAAAAACGCATATTTCCGAGAGAGTCGCTTGTTAAGTCCTAACGGCGGCCACGATGGTCCCAGGGGCTCCCCAAATCGGCCCAAACTGCCCAAGAGGCCCCCAAGAGCGCCCCAAGACGACCCCAAGACGGCCTGAAGAGAGCTTCAAGCAGCACAAGGGAGCTCCAAGACCGCCCAAGAGAGTCCCCAGGGTCCCGAGGGGGCCACTGGAGGATCCCTACATGGTTGTAGAGGGCCCCAAGAGGGCCCCAAAACGGGCTCAGCCCCCATGACGGGCCAAGAGGGACCCAGGACGGCCGAGATGGGCCGCCAGAAGGGCAACAAAAAGGCCCCAAAGGATTCCCTCAAGACGGTCCAAGAGGCCGCCGAGAAGGCCCCCCAAAGGCAAGCATTTCCGATGGAAAATCTTATACTTCCAGGAAATTCGCTTTTTCAGTCCGAACAGTGGCCACGATGGCCCCGAAGGCTCCTCACATCGGCCCCAGACGGTCCACGAGGCCCCTAAGATGGCCCCAAGACGGCCTGACGAGAGCTTCAAGCAGCACAAGCGAGCTCCTAGACGGCCCAAGAGAGTCCCCAGGGGGCCCGAGGGGGCCACCGGAGGATCCCTACATGGTCGGAGAGGGCCCCAAGAGGGCCCCAAGACGAGCTCAGCTCCCCATGACTGGTCAAGAGGGACCTGGGACGGCCGAAATAGTCTTACAGACGGACCAAAGATGCCCAAAAGGACTCCCTCAAGACGGTCCAAGAGCCCGCCGAGCAGACTCCCCAAGGGCAAAAATCAAGCATTTCCGATGGAAAATCCTACACTTCCGGGATATTGGGTTTTTCAGTGCTAACAGCGGCCACGACGGCCCCAAAGGCTCCCCAAATCGGCCCCAGACGGCCCAAGAGGCTCCCAAGAGGCCCCAAGACGGCCTGAAGAGAGCTTCAAGCAGCACAAGAGAGATAAACGGCCCAAGAGAGTCCCCGGGGGGCCCGAGGGGGCCACCGGAGGATCCCTACATGGTCGGAGAGGGCCCCAAGACGGACTCAGCTCCCCATGACGGGCCAAGAGGGACCCGCGCAGTACACATTCGCAGCGAGAGATGGGTTCGCCCTTCATTCCGTTGTAAATTTCAACGATGGCGATTTCGATAGCATGCTTGACTTTTTATTTTGCTAAGCAGTGGCAGGAAGCCATGGGGGCCAGCCGTGTACAGTGTACAGGATGGATTGTTTGGTCTTCGCGCGTCCACCACTGACACCTGCGTCGCGGGGGGGGGGGGGGGAACAGACAGACGTCCCAAGAGGCACCCAGGACCGCCCAAGGCGGCCGAAGAGAGCGCCAACAGGGGCCCCGCGGGGGGGGAAATCGAACCCTCATTTCGAGGCCTCCGCCCTCAGAGTCCCCCAGGATGACCCAGGACGTCTCCAAGAGGACCCTCAAGAGAACCCGAAGAGGCAAATTCGCCCCGTTCCCGTGGGAAAGCGTACATTTCTATCGCAATCGTTGTTTGAAGTGCACAGCGTCCAAGACGGGCCCCTAGGAGAGCCCCCCAACGGCCGAAGAGGTCCCCCAGGGGGCCCCAAGACGGCCCAAGATGGCCCCAAGACGGCAGAAGAGGCACCCAGGACCGCCCAAGAAGGCCCCAAGAGGGGCACGTGGGGGGGGAATGCGAACCCATACTTCGAGGCCTCGGCACCAAGAGAACCCCGAAGATCGCCAGCAGGCCCCTAAGGACCCCCCCGAGAGGACCCAAGAGGGCCACCAGAGGCCCCGAAGAGGCCCCGAAAAGCGTCCAAAGAGGCTTCACCATTGTTTCCAACAGGCTGCCCAGAGGTTTCCCCAGAGACGCCAACAGGCATTCACGAAGTCTCACACCAACAACCCAGGCTCGGTGGCAGGATGTGCAGAAGGCCACCAGGAGGGGCACACGTGGACGAGGGGCACGAATGTCCTTCCTCTGTGTGTATTACTCCTGTTGTTCGTCTTCACGGACTCAACTTCTCCTTCTGCTCCTGCCCCTCCTTCCCGTTCTGCCCTCGTCTTCGCCGCCGTCATGCTCCTGGACTCTTCTCCCCTTTCTCGACCTCCAAACCGCCCCCCTCGTTCTCTTCGTCCTCCTGGAGTCCCCCTTGCTCAGGGAAAGGCTTTTCACTACGTGTTTCCGCAGCGCATTCGGCTAAAGTCATCTCCGCAACCGTCTTCCAGCCCTCGGTATCTCACTGCGAGCTGGGATTCCGGAGAACCTGAGCGCGCGCGAAGCGTGCGCGATGGTTCTCCTCGTGTATATTTGTATAGGTTGATGCTCATGTATATGCATGTGTCTATCCATATGCATGGATGTGCACATGCAACCATAGATGCAATTGTTTACGTATGTGTATATATATATATATATATATATATATATATATATATGGTCGCCCCCCCCCCCAGCGCACCCCAAACCACCCACGACCACAAATCCATCATTGATCGTTTGCTCCTGCTGCTGCTCCTCCTCCTCCTCCTCCTCTTCCTCCTTTCCCTCCTCCTGCTTCTCTGCTTCTTCCTCTGTTTCCTCTCTTTTCTTTCTCCTCCTCCTCTCATCCTCCTCCTGCTCCTCCTCCTCCTCCTCCTCCTTATGAGAAGCCTTACAAAAGGGGCTGCTCTCTGAGGAAACCATATGAAAACACAGATATTCCTGATATGTTTGAATGCTTTGGCAAGGAAACCATATGAAAACACAGATATTCCTGATATGTTTGATGGTTTTCGTTAGGAAACCCTGTGAAAACACAGATATTCCTGATATTTGTTGGTTTTCTGGAAAAGGGCGCCCCTCCCCCTGCTCCCTCCCCAGGTCCACGCCCCTCAGGGACAATGCGCCAGGCAGGAACACCTGTGAAAACACAACTATTCCTAATATTTTGAAAGGTTGTCGCACAGAAACCTTGTGAAAACACAGATATTATTGATATTTTTTTGGTTTCTGTAGGGAAACCATATGAAAACACAGATATTCCTCATATGTTTGGTGGTTTTCGTTAGGAAACCCTGTGAAAAAAACAGAGATTCCTGATATTTTGTGGTTTTCTTGATACGGGCGCGCTGCAAAGGCTGGTGGCGCAAGAGGAAGAGGGGCGCCCGTCTCCAGAAAACCACAAAATAGCAGCACTATATGTGTTTTCACATGGTTTCCTAACTAAAACCATTAAGAATATCAGGAATAGCTGTGTGTTCACATGGTTTCCTTATGAAAACCATCCAAATTATTAATAATATCTGTGTTTTTATATGGTTTTCTTGTTAAAAACTTCAAATGTATCAAGAATACCTGCGTTTTCATAAGAGTTCCCTTACGACAACGATTAAAACTATCAGGCGCGTGTGTGTGTGTGTGTGTGTGTGTGTGTGTGTGTGTGTGTGTGTGTGTGTGTGTGTGTGCGTGCGTGCGTGTGTGTGTGTATGTGTGTATGTGTGTGTGTGTGCGTGTGTGTGTGTGTGCGTGTGTGTGCGTGTGTGTGTGTGTGTGTGTGTGTGTGTTACAAGGCTTCCTCACGACAGCGGCCGCAGCATGGACGGGACTTGTGTTTTCACAAGGTGTCCTTACCAACGCCTTATGGACCCTCTGTGTCTAGCTTTGGGCAGAAGACCTTGCTCAGCCGATCGGGAGACGTGGGCAGCAAACGGTGAGGAAAGGAAGAACAAGTTCACAAATAATATGAGGGTGACGACGACGTGGCGACAACGTTTTCTGGAAAGTAGCGTTTGTGGTTGCTGCTGTGACTCCCTCGTCTTTGGCATAGTCGGGGCAGCTAGTGTACAATCGATCAGCATTTATAATATCGAGGAAAAGCGTTGGCCGCTGGCTGCCCCCCGCCGAAGCGGCCGCCCGCTCATTCCGACGCATCGGCATTCATTCCGCCGCCCAGGCCGAGCGGATCGCCGTTGTCTGCATCGGCGAGCGCAGCGGCGAGGTCCTGGCTACTGGGCGCGGCGGCGGCGCCGCGGGCCTCTTCGGGCGAGCTCGAGAGGTCGATCTCGACCTCCGGGATGCTCCCGAACGACCTCGCCCAGCAGATGCGCTCGGGCAAGGGCGGGAGGGGCTCGCGGGCCGCCGACGAACTACTGCCGCCCTCGGCGCCGTCAGGCGGCTGCTCCTCCTTGACCGAGAGAGGCAGGGGCACGGAACCCTTGTCCAGCAGCGCCTTCATGAAGCGGAGTTGCTTGTCCCTAAGCGAGTTGTATTCCTCGGCGTCCCGCATCGCGCCGTTGTGGATGTAGTCGTAGAGAATGTTCCCCGCTGCCTTGGTAATGTAGTGGCCAACCTTCGGGGCCCTCGTCACGTCCGAGTCCAAACCCGCCAAGCGCTCGAACACGTCATTGGGGGTGTTCACGACCGCGGAGGACCGCTTCAAGAGGGCCATGACGTTCGCTTTGGACATGTCCTTGGGGAACGTGCGCTTGAGCATGTCGAAGAAGTACTGGTTTCGCTTCTGCTTGGCCTCAGCTGGCGACAAGATGCACAGACCGCGCCACGCGTCCATGGTGGGGACAGCCGTCTCGTCGTACATGTTCTCCGCGGCGAAGCGCGCCTGACCCCGAACGAACTTGGCAGCCCCCCACCGTTCCCTCGTCATCGCCTGGAACTGGCCGACGTCCAAGAAAGCCTTCAACGTCTTCGGGCGCTGCTCGAACAAGTCGCCGTCATCAAAGACGCACGGGCAGTGCTTCGTGCCCCCTTCGGCCCTGAAGAAATCCAGGTCTGGCCCCTCTCTGAGCGAGGCCAAGCCGCGGCCCCCCAGCTTGCCTGCGTAGTAGTCGCCCATGGCGAATGCCAGCGTCTCCAGGTACGGCGTCTTCCCTTCGCCAGGCTCGCCGACCATGCGGCAGGAGTGGCTCTTGAAAGTAGGCACGATGCGCTTCGCGCGCTCGACGCCCTCGCCCCCTGTGTCGAAGATGAAGATGGGGTGGTACGTGATCTTGTTCGCCTGAATGCCCTGGTCCTTAATGTGCGAGAGAACCTCCTTAATCTTCCCCTCTTTCCAGCTGTGGATGGGGCTTTGCGGGTCGTTCAGCTGGAAGTCGATCCACATCATCTGTTCGCAATCGAAGTTGCCGCGCGGGGCGTTGTCCTTAATGAACTGGTACTGGGATACGATCATGTCCTGGGGAAGGCACTTCTTCTTCTTCTTCTCCTTTGCGCCCTTCTCCTGCGGGGGTAGGTGGTGACGGAAGTGCGTGCCACCGAGCCGATCCATCATGTAGACCAAGACTTTCCACGGCGTCTTGACGTCCGCCCCCTTGCCCCAAGATAGCGTGTACAACACTTCATTCTCACGCAGGAGGCGGTTCTCGACGTCGACCAACGGCTGCGGGCCCGAGAACAGAAAGTACTTGATGATGTCTGTCCCGTCGCCGTCGCCAGCGGGCACCAGTGCCAACTGCATCGTGTAAAGGGCTTCCCAGTTTGTTCTGGGGCGCAATAGCCCTGGCAGACCATTGTAGTCGTTGACCGCCATGGCCTCCCGCACCGCGGCCATGTCGATGCCCCCCTGGTAGTTCAAGACAACGGCGAAGGCATGCTTCATCTTCTTGCAACCTTCAGACGGCATGAGGGGGAGATCCCCTGCAGAGTAGAGAGCTGGGGGATCGTCCTGGAATTCCTCTGGGTGCAACGCCGTCTGGTGCATCGGGGCGGCCGAGCCGTGGCCGCGGACCTTTTCGAATACCTGCTGGATCTTCTCGCTGTCCGCCCCCTCGACCTCCAAGTGCGCCCTCGGGGACTTCATTCCGAGGGCGGGGAGGTTGGTCATGAGCAGAGATATACCAGGGGCTTGTGCGCGTGCGAATGCATTCGGACACCCTGTGCAAGCCTGATCAATAGCGGCGGCAGGACACAGCGGGGGCGGGGGTAACCGCAGGGGGGCGGGGGCTGAATCAACGGCGACGACGCGACGACGGCGACGGCTGCTCCTGATCATACCCTTGCGGGCGGGCTTTCTTTCCATGCGGGCAGACTACGTAGTTTTTCTCGAACCTCAGAACCAATATGCACGTCCGCACACATATCGCTTGGGCACTCTCGCTGCGCTGGCCCAACATTTCGCCGCGCGGGAAGCAGTGCGGGGCCAGGGTAGGTGGCATTTGAGACGGAGGTATGCAGTGCCTCTGCAGCGGCAGATGGGCTCGCTCACTCGTGCTGCTGCTGGAACAGAGCGGTAAGCATATTGCCCGTGTGCGCCCACAGGTCCTCGCCCTTGTTCCAGTAGCACCGCTGGAAGGACCTCACCTTGTTTGCCAGCGCGCGGGAGTTCACCTTGCGGTTGGGGCCAAGGTGGCGCCTCAACCCGCCCCAGACGCGGTCAATGATCTGGGTCCCGCACTTCACCCAGATGCGCTTCTTCTTGTTGGAACATCCATTGTCTGCAATGTCGTGATACCTGACCTTCGTGAAGGCTGGCTTGACCCACGCGTACTTGCCGTTCACCTGCGAGGAGCGGCACAGGGGCCGACTGTCCTTTGCCTGCGCCGACTCTGACAATGCCCACATCGTACCTCTGGTCAAGTGGTCGAGCCAACTGACTCTGCGGCAGAAAAGGGCACCGCCGCAATCGGCGTCGGCGAGGGACGGCCACCTTCCCCTCCTCCACCCACCCACCCAAACACAAACACCAGCGGCCTTCACGCGCTTCTTCATGTGGACGACCCAGTCGTGGACCACGCCGTCAACGCGCAGCTTGTAGGAGCGGGCGCCGTCTGTGTGGAGTATGACTTTGCGTTGCTTGAGCCACTTCTTGGCCAGCGGGGCCCAGTCGCGCTTGCGGATCGGGCCTGGGCCTGGCGCCCTCCGCACTGTTTTCTCTGGGCGAAGCCTGAAGAGGACGAGCGACTTAGGGTCTCCGCGCTGGACAATCCCGCCCCACTGCTCCCACGCCACTGGCTTCTTGGTGCGCGAGGTGGCGTCTGGGTCCTCGCCCTTGGCAACGTCGACCTCGTCCGCCTCGACGTCGGGCCACTCGACATCCTCGCCGAAGCGGATCTTCTTCTCTTCCTGCCGCGCGTACTTGGCTCTGGCATCGTACAGAGACTTGTATATGGATTCCGCCAACTTGTGGTTCTTTTTCAGCAGGTAGCGAACTGTCGCCTGCGTGCACCCAGATACAGCGCAGAACAATATCGCAGCCTGGTCACCAAGCCCAGCATGGGACTTCCCAGTACCGACGCGAAAGATAGGGTGGAAGGCATGGGGCAGTACGCGGCGCTTGCAGTCTCTGCCCTTGCACATGCGCGCCCACCCGCCCCCCTTCGCCCCGAAGTCCTTGAGAGGGCCGAGCGTTGACCTCTGGCAGCACGGACGCGCCATGATCTTCTTCACCACGGCGCCTCTCTGAGGGCCTGTAAGGACGCCGGCGTCCGCGCAGGCGCAAATGCAACACTTTTCATTTGGCTGTGCGTTTCCTCTGGTTTTTTCGCCCTGTTTGTTGATCGCGCCGGACTTGCAATCCAGATTGATGCACAAGGATGGCATGTTAAAAAACAACAGCAACAACAAAGACAAATACGTTAGCGTATGCTTGGCAACGGCTTGAGCACAATACGTTAACTACATGATGAAAGTGAGCGTGAGGACGCTGATGAAATATAGTGTTCGTCACCATCAAAATCATCATCATTGCAATTGTCATCGTTGCCATCGCCACCATCTTAATCGCAATCGTCATCAGAACCATCCCCATCATCATCATCATCATCGTCGTCGTCCTCAGCCCCACCATCGTCATCATCATCATCATCATCATCATCATCATCATCGCACTCGTCATCATCAACTCCAGGAGGATCCAAGAGGCCCCCAAGAAGCTCAAGAGGCGCCCAAGAGGCCCCCAGAGGCCCCCAGAGTGCCCCTAAGAGGCTTCAGAACTGCTTTCAACAGATCCCCGAGATGCCTCCCACCATGTCCCAACGAACATCCAAGAGGCCTCAGGTGCCATCTCGAACAATCGCCATCGAACATGCTGAGCCTGATGAGGGGAGGAGCGTGAGGGAGCCAGGAGGAGGAAGAGAAAGATGGTCGTTGGGGTGCGCTGGGGGGGGGGGGGGGCGAGCTTATATATGTATACGTATGCATGGCTGTAAAAAATGTATGCTTATATACATGTATATATATATATATATATATATATATATATATATATATATATGCATGTGTAACTGTATGTCTAAACGTAGTTATGTATGTATGTATGCATGCATGCATGTATGTATGTGTGTATGTGTGCATGTCCGTGTGTATATATGTACGTACGTATGTATATGTGTATGTAATGTATGTATGTATGTATGTATGTATGTATGTATGCATGTATGTATGTATGTAAGTATGTAGGTATGTATGTATGTATGTGTGTCTGTATGTGTGCATGTAGTATATATGTATGTATGTGTGTATGTATCTATGTAGGTATGTCTGCATGTATGCATGTATGTGTGTACGTATGTATGCATGCATATGTGTATGGATGTAGGTAGGTAGGTTGGTAGGTAGGTCTGCATATATGTATGTATGTATGTATGTATATATATATATGTATGTATATATGTATGTATGTATGTATGTATGTCTGTATGTATGTATATATGTGTTTGTTTGTTTGTTTGTTTGTATGTTTGCGTATGCATGCATGTATGTTTGTATGTCTGTCTGTCTGCCTGCCTGCCTGCCTGCCTGTCTGTCTGTCTGTCTGTCTGTATGTTTGTGTGTATGTATGTGTGCATGTATGTGTGTATGCATGCATGCGTGTACATATGACGTTATGCATGTAGTTATATATATATAATATATATATATATATATTATATATATATATATATATGTGTGTATGTACATTGGGAAGGGGATCCCAGGGCCCCCGGAGTTCACTGATTCGGTACCCGGCCGTTTGGACCCGCCAGGGGTCGCCCGAACGCGTCAAAGGAGGGGAAGAGGGGCGACGAGAGGTCCCGAAAGACGTCCAAGAGGGCGCCAAGATGGCCCAAGAGCGCCCCAAGAAAACCCAAGTCCGCACAAGAGTGTTTCAATCTTGTTCCAACATGGCTTGAAGACAGCCCAGGAGAGCCTCAAGACGGCCAAGATCCCTTCAAAAGGACTTCCACGAGGCCCTCAGGAGGCGAAACAAGTTGTTTGTGTTGTTGCCCCTTTTTTCTTTTCAGAAGGTGTTTGAAGGTTTCTCGTGTTCTCGCTTCTTCGTGCTTCCGACGGTCCAAGGCAGCCCACGAGGCCCCAGAAATCAGCTCAAGACGGCCTAAGAGGTACCCAAAGAGGGCGCCAGGACGGCGCAAGAGAGTCCCAAGACGGCCGAAGAGTGCCCCAAAACAGCCCAAGAGGCGCCCAAGAGGGCCCCCAGACGGCCCCAAGAGGGGCCCAAGAGGGGGGAACACGAACCGACAATTCGAGCCTTCCGCCCCTAGAGGCCCCCAGCAGGCCCCAAGAGGTCCCCAAGAGAGCCCAAGAGGCCCCCTAAAGGCCCCACGCGGCCCCAAACAGGTCCCAAAAGAGGCCCCAAGAGAGCCCCAAACGGCCCCCAAGAGGCCCCCAAAACCAAAATCCACCGTTTCAGGTTCCGGAATCACCTGGAACCGTTCCGGGGTGATTCTGGAAGCTTGACGCTGACCGTTTCAGGTTCCAGAATCACCCTGGAACGGTTCCGGGGTGAAAACCCATCTGGACTCATTTTGAGCTCCTCCCAGAAGGTTTTTCTGAGCTCCTTGCCGGGCTCCTTACAGAAGCCCTTATTGGGCTCCTTACTGGGCTCCTTACAGAAGCCCTTATTGGGCTCCTTACAGAAGCCCTTACTGGGCTCCTTACAGAAGCCCTTGTTGGGCTCTTTACAGAAGCTCTTATTAGGTTCCTTACAGAAGCCCTTACTGGGCTCCTTACAGAAGCCCTCACTGGGCTCCTTACAGCAGCCCTTATTGGGCTCCTTGCAGAAGCCCCCACTGGGCTCCTTACAGAAGCCCTCACTGGGCTCCTTACAGCAGCCCTTACTCGGCTCCTTACAGAAGCCCCCGATGGGAGGGCCCAGCCGCGAAAAACAAGCTTCCCAATTACGCTACCGAGGAACCCCACATACTTATATTATGGCTGGAGTGATGATAGCTGAAAAGAAGCATGTGAGAATGATGTTGGTGGCCGTTCCCTGCGCGCCCCCTCTGGCGTCGAGAAAATGACACGCCTGCTGCGCCGTGCGAGCCTGCAACGGATAGAGACCGCACCCCACGCGCGCCCCCCTCTGTCATCGAGACTTTGCCATGCCTGCCGCGCCCTGCGCGCCTGCAACGCATAGAGACCGCACCCCCTTGTGCACCCCCTCTGGTGTCGAGAATTCCCACGCCTGCCATGCCCTGCGCACCTGCAACGCATAGAGACCGCACCCCCTGCGCACCCTCATGGTGTTGAGAGAATGCCGCGCCTGCCGTGCCCTGCGCGCCTGCAGCGCATAGAGACCGCACCCCCTGTTCAACCCCCTTCTGGTGTCGAGAATTCCCACGCCTGCCGCGCCCTGCGCGCCTGCAGCGCACAGAGACCGCACCCCTTGCGCACCCTCCTGGTGTCGAGAAAATGCCGCGCCTGCCGTGCCCTGCGCGCCTGCAACGCATAGAGACCGCACCCCCTGTGCACCCCCTCTGGTGTCGAGAAAGTGCCACGCCTGCCGCGCCCTGCGCGCCTGCAACGCATAGAGACCGCACCCCCTGCGCACCCTCCTGGTGTCGAGAAAGTGCCGCGCCTGCCGTGCCCTGCGCGCCTGCAACGCATAGAGACCGCACCCGATGTGCACCCCCTCTGGTGTCGAGAATTTCCACGCCTGCCGCGCCCTGCGCGCCTGCAGCGCATAGAGAGACCGCACCCCCTGCGCACCCTCCTGGTGTCGAGAATTCCCACGCCTGCCGTGCCCGGCGCACCTGCAACGCACAGAGACCGCACCCCGTGCGCACCCTCCTGGTGTCGAGAGAGTGCCGCGCCTGCCGTGCCCTGCGCGCCTGCAACGCATAGAGACCGCACCCCATGTGCACCCCCTCTGGTGTCGAGAATTCCCACGCCTGCCGTGCCCTGCGCGCCTGCAGCGCACAGAAACCGCACCCCCTGCGCGCCTTCCTGGTGTCGCGAAAATGCCGCGCCTGCCGTGCCCCGCGCGCCTGCAACGTATAGAGACCGCACCCCCTGTGCACCCCCTCTGGTGTCGAGAATTCCCACGCCTGCCGTGCCCTGCGCGCCTGCAACGCATAGAGACCGGACCCCCTGCGCACCCTCTCGGTGCAGAGAAAATGCTGCGCCTGCCGTGCCCTGCGCGCCTGCAGCGCATAGAGACCACACCCTCTGCGCACCTTCCTGGTGTCGAGAAAGTGCCACGCCTGCCGTGCCCTGCGCGCCTGCCACGCATAGAGACCGCACCCCCTGCGCACCCTCCTGGCGTCGAGAAAGTGCCGCGCCTGCCGTGCCCTGCGCGCGTGCAACGCATAGAGACCGCACCCCCTGCGCACCTTTCTGGTGTCGCGAAAATGCCGCGCCTGCCGTGCCCTGCGCGCCTGCAACGCATAGAGACCGCACCCCCTGTGCACCCCCTCTGGTGTCGAGAATTCCCACGCCTGCGTGCCCTGCGCGCCTGCAACGCATAGAGACCGCACCCCCTGCGCACCTTTCTGGTGTCGCGAAAATGCCGCGCCTGCCGTGCCCTGCGCGCCTGCAACGCATAGAGACCACACCCTCTGCGCACCCTCCTGGTGTCGAGAAACTACCACGCCTGCCGTGCCTTGCGCGCCTGCAGCGCATAGAGACCACACCCTCTGCGCACCCTCCTGGTGTCGAGAAACTACCACGCCTGCCGTGCCTTGCGCGCCTGCCACGCATAGAGACCGCACCCCCTGCGCTCCTCCCCCTGCCGTGCCCTGCGCGTCATAGAGACCGCAACCCCCTGTGGTGTCGAGAATTCCCACGCCTGCCGTGCCCTGCGCGCCTGCAACGCATAGAGACCGCACCCTCTGCGCACCCTCCTGGTGTCGAGAAAGTGCAGCGCCTGCCGTGCCCTGCGCGCCTGCAACGCATAGAGACCGCACCCCTTGTGCACCCCCTCTGGTGTCGAGAATACCCACGCCTGCCGTGCCCTGCGCGCCTGCAGCGCATAGAGACCGCACCCTCTGCGCACCTCCTGGTGTCGAGAGTGCCGCGCCTGCCGTGCCTTGCGCGCCTGCCACGCATAGAGACCGCACCCCCTGCGCACCCTCCTGGTGTCGAGAAAGTGCCGCGCCTGCCGTGCCCTGCGCGCCTGCAGCGCATAGAGACCGCACCCCCTGCGCACCCCCTCCTGG